TTAGGAAGGTTATGGGTGTTTAGAAAAAGGGGAAAAAAAGTAGTTTAGAACATGTTGATATTGTTTAAAGAAAGAATATAATTTGGTTCAAAATCATGTTATCCTATAAAAATATTATAACTAGGATTGTAGTAAGAATAAATGATCACGCCTTTTATATGGAGAGATAATCTCATGATTTTGGTACAAATTTTATCCCTATTTTAACTAATACTCTCAATAAAATACTGGATATATTTAATCCTATTTTTTAATACTGGGACACCCCTCCCTCCCCCCCAACAAATTCTTGCAACCAAACGATCCCAAAAAGTGCTGATAAGAAAAAATAACTTATTTCCGTAAGTAAGAAAAGTTATTTCCTCTCTTTTAATTAAAAAAAAAATGTAACCAAACATTAAAAACATGACTTCTTTTTTGACAAAAAATTCTTCTTAGAAAATGATTTCCATTGTATCAAATTCATCCGGAGATCTCAAGTGTACGACCAGGCTATTTTAGATGATCCAAACAAAATTTGTAACTTAGCAAGAATCTCTAGATGTGGATCTACGGTCCAATTCTTTATCCATCCTTAATAGTAAATCTCACAAAATGGAATCTGTTCTCCAACAATGCCCAAATTCAGCGTAATCAATGTCAAATTTGCATTTGCATTTGTTTTTGGACGAATCCAATGTCTTGGGATACTCTGTATATTTGTCTTGTCACATTTAGGCATCGTAACTACTAGTACATGTTATTGAACTTCACTTTCACGGTTTCACCTGCGCCTTGTGTTTACAAGTTTATTCAAAATACATTTTTATAGCTACATATTCTCATTATATTTGCCCTCTTATGTATAGTTATTCCACATGTATAATGAATTTAACTTATATTTATTGTTTCTTTCATGTTGTTAATTTTATTTATTATGAAAATTTATATATAATTGCTTTTTAGATGATCTGAAAATTTATATTTATTAGTATTTTATATATAATAGTATATAATTATTTTTTAATGCTATCAATATAGAATTAAATTTTTGTATAATATGATATAATTTCAAAATTATCTCCTCTCTCCTCCGCCGAAAGAAAAGAGTGAATCCACATTGCCCCAAAAATAAATATTCTACTATATCCCAAAATCATAATTTTACTTTGATCATGAATGACAGTTTTGTTTACACAAAACTATATTAGTCTAAATTATAGTGATATAATTGATGTAATTATCACAACCTAAAATTCCACCACAGGCGTCATAATGACACCTAGTTTGTAAGATTGGGTAAGCCGATTACATACAACTAGGGGTATACAAAGAAAATCGATAAACCGCACCAACCCGATAATCCGAGTCAAACCGGAAAAAAAAACCCGATTGTTGTTTGGTTTGATTTGGTTTGACATTGAAAAAAAAATCCGACCATAATTGGTTTGGTTTGGTTTTAACTAAAAAAAGTCAAACCGAAACCAAACCAACTCGATATTACATTTATACAATTTTTAAAAATATTTTATACATATAAATACTTATTGTAATATAATTTATAAATATTTCTTAAATTTATTCACAGTTTTATCTTTAAACGTACTATTTAAAGTTTGGACGTAACATTCTTGAATGGTCCAATAAATTTTATAGCTCATAAAGGTAGTAAGTCAAATAAAGTTCAAATCAATACTAATGCTAATAAAGTAAATTCAATTCAACACTAGGAATGACAATAGTGTTGGATATCTATTTTTCAGTTTTGTATTGATTTATAATGAAAATGTATAACCTAGTTTATCTTTTCTTTAGTGCTTAGTTGTGTAATTAATACTAGTACTTATTAGTTGTATTTATTTTAGCATGACCTATATTATTTTTAGATTATGTTAATTTTTATTATGGTGTATTAATTAGTAATATTTTTTTTAGTGCGATTTTATTATATTTGTTATTGAATATTTTAGTATAATGTTATGATTCATCTCATATTATTATTTTATTTTCTTGAAAAATATATTATATAGTTGTATCCTACTAGGACTAAAATAAATATTTGGAGCACAAGTTACATATTTTGTGCTATTAAGATTTTACCGGAAAAAAAAATCCGAAAACCCGAAAAAAATCGAAAAACTCGAGAAAAACCGAGATTGAAAAACCCGACTTTATTGGTTTGGTTTGGTTTATAAATTTAAAAACATGACACCCGACCTATATACACCCCTATTTACAACAATTAAGAATGTTTAACAATGATAATTTAAAACAAAGTTTAATAGAATACCGAAACAAAAGCGAAATAAGCCTACGCGGCAATAATCATAACAACCTCCCAAGATTAGGTAATACAGAGTCACGAACTCTAGCTGAATACATGGGAAGATCTCAAAGATCGAAATACAATACTGTTCAAATAACAAGCTAACTGTACAACGAAAGGAAAGGACTCTAAGGGACTGTGACTACCAAGAAGCTCTACCTTGAATCCTCGCGATCAATAAGCTAACTGTTCCTAAGTCCGATATCTCCAATACTTGGATCTACACAAATATATGCAGAAGTATAATATGAGTACACCACGATCGGTACCCAATAAGTATTAAAACTAACCTCGGTGGAGTAATGACGAGGTACAAGTCAAGATACGTGCTAGTCAAAATAACATGTGTAGTATAAAAGTATAAAACTAATAATGAAAATATGAATCAGTAAATGGCAACAAGAATCAACATATGATCAAACATTAACGCAACAAGAACACAGTTAGAATACCAGCGAGAACATATAAGGGAAATAAATGTCAACCAACAAGAAAGTCGTTCCAACACAGGTCTCACAACGAATTACTCCGAGATACCTCATCTCATAATCACAAGTCATGAGTCTCAACCACAAATCATATGCTCACGGCACCTTGTGCCCACATTTCTAATCACAACCGCATGAACAATTCACGTGCCAATATCTCAATCCGTCAGGCATGATCACAGGCTCACAATCACAATTCGCCTGGCATGGTCATAGGCTCACTATCACAATCCGCCCGACATGGTCACATGATCAATACCAAATACCAACATGAAAGCAGATAATACAAGAATACATGAGCATGATCGATAAATGTTAAGTTTCATACTCCTAAACTAGTATAAATAGCATGCTACGGTATGTGCTTGTACGAGTGTACTATTACAGTCCAAGTCAATAAGTAATATCAAAGACATCGATTAGCTCATTGAAAGTAACAAAACAAGTCACGTAAGGTGTATGACATACACAAGCAGAATCACACTATCACAAAAATATCATCAACATAATTCCACTAAGCCATCACACATCATCCCACACATTGCCACCATTATCTCTCCGATAGCCACGCATATCACTTCGCCCTTACAATATCATTAGCTATTCATATCACTCTGATAGTCACCCGTATCACTCCTCATAATAGCTACCCTTATCGTTCCGCCCGAACAATAACACAATAGCTACCCGTATCACTCCACACAATCAACAACAGTGAGATGCCACCCTTATGCCCCGCATAATAATAACAATGATATACCACCCTTATGCTCCGCATAACAACAACTAAACCACACAACAATTCACATATGCTAACATCACAACAACACGACATATCACGTCGTACCAAAAGTTCTCATAGGCCACAACCTTTCCAAAGAACCAACAATATCAATATTTACATAACAAATAGCCCACGACTCAAGCACAATGTGTATAGAATCTAAATAACAATGAAATGAACGGGAAAGTAACTCAACAAGGAATAACACCCCCTTTAAACACAACTTCAATTAAAATAGATTAATAATTTTCAATAAATTCAGCTTCAATTAATTACTTAAGGATAAGCTCGATAATGAACGTATTTTCATGAAAGAGCAAACTTCAGATTCTATTGTATGAAATAGGTTAATAATGAGAGAGATGGTACGACCTAGAAACTACGTCTCAATGCATGATAATAACCCGACAACAAAAATGATATCATGTAAAAATAATTTTAATTAAGAGTAACTCAACAATAAAAGAAGTCACATAATGATAAAAGAAGTAACAACTTCAAATACAACATATAAGAGTAAACTTGACAAGAAAAGGATGTGACATGTAACGACAACTTCAAATAAACCATGTGATAGTAAACATAATGAATAAAAGATATAACATGTGCTAACAATTCTAAATAAATACATGAAAGAAGCTTAATAGTCTAAACCGGTCAATTTTTATATATAAGCTCGAGTACGCACTCGTCACCTCGTATACACGACTTTCATATAATCCAAATAGCACAAACACTACAACAAAAATGGCCTTTAGCGGTCATTATTTTTCCCTTTTGCGGCAATAGGAATTGCCGCAAAAATATTTACCGGCAATTAAATATCCAGCGTCGCTAAAGGTTTTAGCGGCAATTTTATCAAGTGCTGGTAAAGACACTAATTATTGCCGCTATAAGTTATCACTTTTACTGACATTTATTTTTCGGCAATTACAATAGCCACTAAAATTACCTTTGAAATTTGCTAGCTCATATACTAACAGCCATCATTTGTCTCGGCAAAGACCCATTTATTACCAATAAAAAGGATATTTTTAGCGGCAATTACAATAGCGACTAAAACTACTCTTGATTTGCCTTTATACGTGCATTTAAAAATCTTTATTAATGCTGGTAATAATTAGAGGAAGATTTTCCCGAAAATACTAATGCGGTATGCCAGGAAAATGTTATAGCTATTTATCATTCATCTTGATTCAAACATTATCAATAAATAATACTTGACCTTAAAAATTTAATAAAAATGTACACAAGTTTGTAAAAATAAAATATATTAATACCCAATTAAAAAAAAATATAATGTATTTTATTAAATCCATTACAAAGAAAGACTTCTACTCCATAGTAGCAGCATAAACGGAAAAATCGATCTTTGAATCTGATGTCATTTCAAGTATAACAAGTATCTCTTCAATTCCTGATGGTAATGAAACTCATCCACATGTTAAAGTTCTAAACATCATAGTGTATGAAATAAAACAATTAAAAAAAAAATATTAACATCATGACTAGGTTACGACATTCCTTTACCAACAATCAAAAACAATCTATACTGAGCGAATAACTACAAGTTGTCCGCTACACCAACTATTTAAAAGCTAAAATACCACCCTAAGTAGCACAAATTGATCTAGTTGTTGTTGTGTCATCAATACACTAATCATTCTAGATAATTAACATAAATACTTTACATGGGCATTCAATTGCACATTATATATAAACAATTTTACCTGCCAGCAAATTTCTGTTCTTGTTAGACAAATCCACAACTCAATAATTTTTTGTATGTGAAATGCATAGTCTCAATCTGCAATTAAATTTTTATTATGAAAGGAGTGAAGTTGAAATAAGCTGCAAAAAGAGAAATGATATTTCATTAAATACAAATAGAAAAATCACTACTTTTAAGACATACTGTAAAACATTTAAGAGCTATTTTGAAACTACAAGTAAATGGGTACACTCACATGCCAGCATCAACTATGTTCCTCCCAACGATTCAATAGCTCTAATCTCTTTCTGGACTATTTTTGTACTTCTTGCACTTCAGCATCTTCTTTTAATTCATCAGTTTTTCTAATTCGAAGTTAACCAAGATGATACTGGCGCAGAGACTTAACAAACACCCAAAGTTCCAACTCTTACAGAGATTGCAATTTATTTCATTCCATTAAAGGTGAAAAACCATGATAGGGAATAACAAGCAAAACCAAAATTTAAACACTAACTAATACTCCCTCCGTTTCAATTTATGTGAACCCATTTGACTGGGCACGGAGTTTAAGAAAAGAGAGAAGACTTTTGAACTTGTGGTGTAAAATGAGGCACATATATTTTGTGTGGCTATAAATCATTGTATAAAGGTAAATTGTTTCCAAATAAGAAAAGAGGTCATTCTTTTTGGCACGGACTAAAAAGAAAATAGGTTCACGTAAATTAAAACGGAGGGAGTAATAATTATAGTCTCTGAGTGTCTAAGACAATCTTCTATATATTCCACTATCTTCCTGCTAGAGAAGAAAAAGAAGGGAGAACCAAAAGATACAGCTTCACCGTACATCTTCCTTCAAAGAGCATCTTTTAGAGGGGAAATTCTTAGAAATGTCCATCTGCAATGAAGATGCAAATTTTCCAAAAGAATTTTGTAGAGGAACTCTGAAGCTTTTTTGTTCCTTAAAAAACTTCATAGATAGAAATGCATACCATCTTTAAGTTTATCACAACAAAGTACAAAGTCTTACGATATTATCAGGCTTCTTCCTTATAAATGTACTTGTTCTTCCAGATCACCGACAACTCAAAGTTGTTTTATTTATTTTAGAATCAAATTTCACATGAGACGTATCTACAGATCACTTTTCCAAATGCAGTAACTTTCAATCAAACACATTAAAAGTTTTATAAGGATATTAATAGTCACAATCCAATGGAAGAATCGATCACATTAACAGTCATGTAAAAAATAAAAAAGTGTACCATAATAGAAATATCAAAGAGAAACACTTACACATGTAAAGTATAAAAGTAGAAATATCCCCCCACATGAGCAAGGTCCAAGATAAATGGCCAACTTTTCTTCTCATATTGCATAAGAAAAAAATCTCATGCATCGCTCAACATCTCGCTTGGGGAATTACGACTTTGATGCTAGCAGAAAGAGAACCAAGATGTGAATTTGCAGAGTGCTGATAATAGAAGCAATTATTATTGTGTATCTTTTTCTTTACATCAATGAATCCTTAATTTAAGTTAATAGTATTCTTGTCACTAGAGATTTTTCATGAAGAGGATAACTAACATATGAGCTAACAAATTTTGGTCTCATTCATTTTCACTTAAATGATAAAAACGGTGTAATTCCTTTACAATGATTGGTGGTAATTGTAAAAGAAAAGGATAACTCACCAGTGGATACATAGTTAGTTGATCCTGATAAAATTCTGGTTCAAAGCATATGCACCCAACATATCTTTGATAGGGGAAATCCTTCCATCAATCATAACCACCTTACTGATCTGCCTAGCTGAGGAAGGTTTTCAATTCAAAAAGACCACATTTGTTAGTAAGGATAATATAGATTGACACGCACAGGATTCATCATAACTCAACAGTTTGAAACATCTCATAGGACAAACTATACTTAAAGTAAAGCTTATTTTGGACTGTTTCTAAAGCTTCTCAAATAGAGGCTAGCTCACAGAAAATACAAGACACTAACATTAATGTTAAGCAAGTTTTACCAATATGTGCAGCACATTCGTTGGTGGTGGAATAGAGATTCGGCTTCTTTTTATCCCCAACATCATATAAAACAATGTCAAATGCAATATAAATAACTCGAAAGAAAATGAAGAAATAAAATCACTATTGTTTATGTAAAAAGGAAGACGACGACGACGACAACAACAACAACTACTACGACGACGACAACAACTACTACTACTATCCAGTAAAAAGGAAGAATAAAACAAAAGTGAAAATTGATTTTAACCTCAAGAATTTGAAGAAAACTAGAAAAATTGTGCAATTGAACAACCAATGCTTTTGGTTTTAATGATTAGCCTCAAAATAAAAGGCAAGATGTCATCAAACTTGGTTATGGACGGAAAAGTGCTGCTAAGGGAATTAGGGTTTTGCCTAAAGGTGTCTTTTGGGATGCATAGAAATTACAAAGAAGAGAATAAGTAGGAACACTACCCGAAGACAATTATCATAGCAATAAAACTGGAAAGTGCCATGTCATTGAGGAACTCTAAGAGATGGCACCGAAACATGAAGGGCCGGTGATGATGGAAGGAATGAGGCAATTCTTAGAACATAGAATGAAGGGATATGAAATTTTAGGGAATTTGAGGGAAAGGCTTCTTTAAAATATTTTGTTTTTAATGGACATTACCTCTATTTGCCACTATCGAATAATTATTGATGACCAAAACTAATTGTCGTTAATACTTGAACTCAGAGAACAAGATTAGTGGCAATAAGTGTATTGTCGTTAAATAATTGCCACTAAAAGCATCTTTTGTTGTAGTGAAACAACTCAAATCCTAAGGGTAATTCCCTCACACAAAGTTAGGCAAGATATTTACCTTAAAAAAGTCAAATCAATACTCTAAAATAACCTTTTCGTGTGAAACAAACCCCCGGACGACTCAAATTTAGCAGAAATAACTCAATATCATAAATATAAATTTATAGGAAATAATTCCGGATAATAAAGTTTCGATCTTTAATGAAAACTAAAAAGTCAACCCCGGATCCACACCTCAGAACCAGACAAAATATACAAAATCCGAACACTTATTCCGATACGAGTCTAACCATACTAAAATTATCCAATTCGGACATCAAATCGGCCTTCAAATCCTCATTTTCTCCAATTCAAATCACTAATTTAATGATAAAAACAAAGATGAAATCATGAAATATAATCAAATCCGGGTCAAGAAACTTACCACAATCCCAACACGTGAAAATCCCCTCCAAAATCGCTCAAATCCGAACTCTCTAACTCAAAAAGTGATAAAAATTCCAAAGCCCTCGAAATAGAGTACTTATATTCTGCCGAGTGATTTACACATCGCGATCGCGGAAAATTCCTCGCATCGCGAAGAACAAAATGAAGGATGCCAAAAATAACCTTATGCGAACGCGCGAACACAGTCGCGAACGCAATGAAGCAGCACTCAGAAGCACACGATCGCGGACCATTCGATGTGAACACGAAGAAGGAAAAATGGTCAGTCACCAAACAGCCTACGCGATCACGACTGGACCTTCGCGATCGTGAATAAGGACATCAAACACCAGCAATCAACAGTCCAAAACATAGAGAAATGGCCCGTAGTCCATCCGAAACACACCCGAAATCCCCGAGACCCCGCCCAAACTTACCACCAAGTTCCATAACATAATGCGGACCTGTTCAGGGCCTCAAATTACATCAAACAACATCAAAACTATGAATCGCACCTCAAATCGAACTTAATAAATTTATGAAGTTTAAATTTTTACAACTCGCGCCGAATCATATCAAATCAACCAATAATGACGTCAAATTTTACATGCAAGTCCCAATGACACAATGGAGCTATACCAACTCCCACAATCACAATTTGAACCCGATATCAACAAAGTCAACTCTCGCTCAAACCTCTCAACCTTCCGAACCTTTAACTTTCCAACTTTCGCCAAAATGCATTAAATCAAATTACGAACCTCCATATCCAAATTTGGGCATACACCTAAGTCCAAAATCACAATACGAAACTATTGAAATCATCAAAATACCATTTTAGAGTCATCTACACAAAAGCCAATCTCCGGTCCACTCTTGCCACTTAGGCTTCTAAAACAAGAATCATTCTTGCAAATCAATCCCGAATCATCCAAAAATCGAACCCAGCCACACACGCAAGTCGTGATACACAATACGAAGTTGTTTGAGACCTCAAGCCACCAAACGGAATGCTAATTCTCAAAACGATCAATCTGGTCGTTACATTCTCCCCCTCTTAAACAAACATTCATCCTCGAGCGTGCCAAGAACCGTTCTGAAGCCATCAAATCACTGAATGTACTTATCATACATATACTCGCGGGTGATCCCACGTCACCTCAATCCATATAAGCTCGACAACACCATCACAACTAAAGATTATTCCTTCCATCCACTCTGATAAACCTTAGAACCAAATTTCTTTCACCATCCGATCATCTCCCAAAGACCCGATAACCATATTAACATATGATATCAACCTCAACCAACTGCAACGGCTCGTGCATACACTTACAAGGTATGACCACCCGACGTAATACATTTCCCATATGCCCATAACAATATCTCTTACCACAATAGCTGCCCATAATCAAATCCAACACCGACAAGTAATCTCATAACAACTAGAACCATGTTCCGAACCTTCACAACAATAACAACGATGCAAGAAACATGAAGATCTCATAAACATTCACCCAAATCAACAAGTCACACCCAATGCCACATGGGTACGTACCTCGCAAGCTAAATCCCAATAAGCACAACGCGAATATGACTGACTATGAAAAGAGAAACACATGAGAGAATTATCAAATAAGTCCGACAGGCACAACTCCCTATCAGTACCATACTACGGATCCATTCCACAAGGGAGAATCAAAACATATGAACTAATCACAGGGATCTCATCCTAATATAACTCCACCGCGGCACGTAGCCCGGTTCAAACATATCAAACCATACAAAAATGTGAGGATCCCATCCTCAGCTCTGAATCACAAGTAGAATACACATCGCACCAACCGAAGTCTTCAACTGTTTTAATCTCTCAAAACAAAATCACAACACGTAACAGACTTCCCATACCGATAGAGCACCTAAATCATAAGTCGTAACTATGGGTGTTCATGGTTCGGTTTGGGTTGGTTTTTTTCTAAAAAGAAACCAAACCAAGTAAGTCAGTTTTTCAAATATTGGAACCAAAGCAAACCAATTAAGTCGGTTTTTTATCGATTCGGTTTTTGTCATTTTTCTATTTTTTCGGTTATTTATCGGTTATTTTCTTAAATATGAGACATGCACTACCCAACACGTATTCCGGCGACTACATTTTAAATGTAACACTATAAAACCAATAATATTGATTACCCATTGAATTTCCCACCTAGTTTATGTATTTTTAAGGTGAAATTTTGGGAGTTTTGGCCTAGGAATTTGAGAGTAAGAATTGGGGATTTGAGTGGCAATTTGGTGTCAGATTTGAGTAATTTTGGTGTGGTTGGACTCGTGGTTGAATGGGTGTTCGGATTTTATAACTTTTGTTGGATTCTGAGACGTGGGCTTGGGGTTGACTTTTTGACTTTTAATTGAGAACTTAGCATTTTCATATGGAATTGATTCCTATAGATTGTGTTGATTGTATCGAGTTTTTAGTTTTACTTGTTCATGAATCTATGCTGGTGGGTGGATAGATTTGAGGTTTTCGGAGGTTGATTCGCGAGGCAAGTGCTTGTTGGAGTAAAGATTTGGATAATTTGAGGTAATTAATACTTTTAAACTTGGTTTTATGGGTATGAATCCTTGAATTTACGTGTTATGTGATTGGTGTTGAGGTGACGCACATTCTAGGTGACAGGCATGTGGGCGTGCACTGTAGGAATTGTGACTCGGTCGATTCCGTGGAACTGTGTAGTCAAATAATCTTGTCACTATCCATATATTCTCCATATGTTAGTAGGGGGAGGCCTATCACGTGGCGGTTGGGCTTGATTTTATGCTATTCCTGCCAGGCCAGGGGCCGTTGCTTCAGATGCAATGATCATAGGTATTGTTTCAGTGTGCCACAGAGATGCTTCCACATTATTTGACCCTGGTTCTACTTATTCCTATGTATCATCCTATTTTACTTGTTATTTGGATCTGCCCCGTGAGCACAAATCCCGAAAGTGTTGCACTATCGGGACAGAATCAATAGTAGGAGTATCAGCACCAACATCTCTCACAAAAGTCAAATATGACAAACACCCTTTCCCAACCATCTGTTGGGCCTTCAGGTATGAAATCACCCTACTGGGAACATAATCTAGAGAACCTCTTCACTCGATCATCGGCAACCCCGGCATCGCCAACATCACGGTCTTAGCATGACAATCCAGTCCTGCAAATCTGCCGGGCATGCCACCCGACAGGGATATTGATTTTTGTATTGACTTAGTACCGGGCACTCAGCCCATTTCTATTCCTCCATATTGTATGGCACCATCAGAGTTACAGGAATTAAAAGAGCAACTTCAGGAGCTTCTTGATAAGGGGTGTATTAGGCCTAGTGTGTCGCCTTGGGGTGCACCGATTCTGTTTGTAAAGAAGAAGGATGGTACTATGCGGATGTGCATCGATTATATGCAGTTGAACAAAGTTACAATCAAGAACAAGTATCCTTTGCCGCGCATTGTTGATTTATTTGACCAACTTCAGGGAGCTAAAGTGTTCTCTAAGATTGATTTGAGGTCTGGGTATCACCAGTTGAAGATTCGGGACTCGGATATTCTGAAGACAGCATTCAGGACCCGCTACGGTCACTATGAGTTCCTTGTGATGTCTTTTGGTCTAACCAACACCCCAACAACATTCATGCATTTGATGAACAATATATTTCATCCATATCTTAATTCATTTGCCATAGTATTCATTGATGATATCCTGGTGTACTCACGTAGCTAGGAGGAGCATGCCCAACATTTGAGGATTGTACTACAGAGGTTGAGGGAGGAGAAAATTTATGCCAAGTTCTCCAAGTGTGAGTTTTGGCTCAGTTCGGTGGCGTTCTTGGGGCACGTGGTGTCCAATGAGGGGATTAAAGTCAATCTAAAGAAGGTAGAGGCAGTTCAGAGTTGGCCCATACCGTCTTCAGCTACTGAGATTTGGAGTTTTCTCGGCTTGGCCGGATATTATCGTCTCTTTGTGGAGGGTTTCTCGTCCATTGCAGCGTCTTTGACCAGGTTAACCCAGAAGGGTGCTCCATTCAGGTGGTCAGATGAGTATGAGGAGAGCTTTCAAAAGCTCAAGACTACCTTGACCACAACTCCAATTCTAGTTTTGCCTTCGGCGTCAGGTTCTTATACTGTGTATTGTGATGTTTCTCGAATTGGTATTGGGTGTGTCTTGATGCAGGAGGGTAGAGTGATTGCTTATGCTTCGCGCCATTTGAAGCACCATGAGAAGAACTACCCTATTCCTGATTTGGAGTTGGCAGCCATCATTCATGCATTGAAGATTTGGAGGCATTATCTCTACGGCATATCTTGTGAGGTATTTACGGATCATCGGAGTCTCCAGCACTTGTTCAAACAAAAAGATCTAAATTT